TAAAATGGAATACTAAATATATAAAATGGAATACTAAATATATAAAATGGAATACTAAATATATAAAATGGAATACTAAATAAAGTAGGTCAGACGACCGCAATTCCAGAGCCTGAGCATGGGGCAGTAGGGAAAAGAGAGAGACCAACTCCTTGGACAAAGGTCCAACTCGCTCTCTTGGGTCAATGAGCCCTGCGAAGGGCGACCTCGTGCGCCCAGTTTGCAGCGTCCAGCCGGAGCAGGACCCGTCTCTCGCTGGGCCCTGCACCACAGCCCCCAAGGACGGGCGCGGGCGCCCCGCTGTCACTGCTCTGTCACTGCTGCAATTCACTATTCCTGCAGCAACCGCCGGCTGCTCTTCATGGAAAGAGGGTTCTGTTCTGTAAAAATAAAACATTCTTGAACAGGAAGATTTACCTCAGGAGGCTCTGCACGCGGCGACAGCGCACAGGTCAGCGTGTGTTCACCCATAGTGTAGGGATTCTGGTTCAGGAAGCAGTACATGGATTTAGCTGCCTTGGCAGTTTCCAGCTGTAGAATTGCCTAAAAGAAAAAAGGACAAATGTCAAAAACACTCTTACTCCCCCCAATTCCTTTAATTTATCAGTTTTGGTCTGAAGTTGGAAGTTCAGCTATTTTTTTTTTTTCAGGAATCACGTATGTTCTGGAGATGGAAACCAAAGGACTCTCCTCATTCTCAGATGCTGAAGGAAGAAATCTTTCCTGTTTGGATTATCTTTCCAATTCAAGAGCTACGTTAGGAGGAGCCTTGAGCTCCCTTCCCAAGCGTGTCCCACCTTCTGCATCCCAATACGCCTGGCTTGGGTTCTGCTGGGAAAGACAAGCATCCCATCCCCATGCAGGGGACGCTGCAACCACCTATTAAGAAAACAGTAAAGTGAACTACACAGAAAAGTCTATCTGCTGTGCTAAAGCCATCAATCTTTCCCTTCCTTCCTTACCTCTTAGTCACGACAGACAACATGACAGTTTCAGCTGCAAAATCTCAAAGACCGTTATTCAAGTTGTGTTTTAAAGATCATAGCATTTTCATTTTTCCCTTTAATTAAGTCTTATACAAAAATGCTGCCACTCTCCCTTTCATTTTTTCCAACCTCCCCGTCTTTTCAGGCTGTTCACTCCAATTCCGGCTACTGAGATCACATCGGAAAAACACTTGATGGAGCAGCTTTCTATGACAAAGTGCTGATTCCATGGAATTAAAGCCATGGAATTAAAGCCATTTGAGGTTCGGTTCAACAGAATTAGGCAAAATGGAAATTCACCCTGCGTTCTCTCTTCAGTCAGCTCTTTACTGCATTTTAAAACCTAACACAAGCTATAGTTTCACAAGAAGAAATTCCATCTTCTTATTACAAGTATTGTCACCTGTTGCATAGGTTATTAGAAGCTGGGCAGTTAAAATATCCAACAATAACTGCAGTAGAGTTGCTTTAAAATGATTATATCTAAACACTGATTGTAAACAAACAGGGCATTTTTGTTTTAGAAAACACCTTTCAATTCAACCTTAAGTGCAAAAATGGCAACACTTAAAATGTCAGAGCATTCTGCAAGTCAAGTCTTATATGTTTTGAAGTGTCCATCCCAATAATTTGGCATTTTCATTTCTCAGTGAAATGAAGAATTTTCTCCCCAACTTTCCCACAAAATGGGAATTTGTTTCTCCACTCCCTTCTTCCTCTAACATCAAAGATTAACCATGTGCCACTTTAGGAAGCTCCAGTCTCAGAACCCAGCAAACTGCATTGCTATTATTCAGGGCAGACAAGAGCCTAAGGGTTATTTTCCCCTTCCCCACTGACCCAACAAATAAAATAAACAATTCTCCTGTCGAAGTGGGTGGGAAAGAAGACCTAAATTGAAGTCAGAAACTTTGACTTCTCATGAGCAGAATATTTTTGATACTGGGAGAGGAAAACTCAAACTCAAGGGTTGTTTAGTTTTGTTTTTTTAAATATACATACTTTGTTGTATATTGTATATTGTTGCACGTTGTGTTTCATATAGCAGAATGAAAACCACCCCTTACCTTGTTCTTGTTCTTCAACACCACATAATGATCCACTCTCCCAAACCGCAGTCCCACACAAACCACTTCAACTTCTCTGTATCCATCATCCGGCAGGTTCCCAAGATGCACAAATTTATTATGTACAGCTTCAGGATTTACCTAAATAAAAGTAATAAAAACGTGCTTTATATTAACTTTATTATGTGTTTTATTAACAATTATATTAGAGACCCACAGAAAGCCTCTGTACCACTCGCATCTCACCCAAAGAAAAAGCAGATTCACAAACATCAGATATTCATAGTTTCTGATCACACCGGATTTTCCAATTTCCCCATGCAGCCCATCAAAGCAAACAGCTATACTCCCAGCAGAGAACACAGCACCTCAAAGTGAGTGTTTTATTTTAAATTAACCATTTTTTTAATTAACTAGTAAAATTCAGGAAATACGGCAAATACATAGACGAAGCTTAAGTAAAATCTGGTATTCTGAAAAGCAGGTACAACCTAGGCACAGAAAGCCTAGATTTCAGTTTTTCACAGAAAGCCTAGAAATCAATCAAGGCACAGAAAGCCATTTGAGAGATCCCAGACCCATCTTTTAAGCTGGCTTTTGGCTACAGGATCGCTTTGCAAGGACAGGAAAACCCTTGGACAAATATACTCTTTTTGTGGGTATCCATTTACACATGAAGCTCTCTGGGAATTCATGCAGAGATTAAGAATATTCCATCACATTAAAATCTGAATTTATTAAGCCTAGGAGTGTCTGTATCAGACACAAGTAGTGTCTGATACTGCCGTTCTTAAACTCACTCTTGTGAAGTTCTTGTGGCATCTTCTTAAGCCCAGGGTCACATTGTCTGACCCAAAGCCTGAGCCTGTATTAAGAATACCTTGAAGTTAAGGCTAAAAATATTTTTTCACAGAAAAAAAGATGGAAAATATATTCTTTCCTTGATATCTACTGAGCTACACCGTATAGAAGTGTACTATAAATCAAATTCCAGCACTTGGAAAGCTGTGAAGAGGAGGGACATTAGATTGAAGAAAGTGCAGGAACAGAGACCAAAAAAATGTCTAAAAACCTACTGAAAAAGCAAGTGGCTGCAGTGCAAAATATAGAGGCAAACACCACAAACTCTCCCAGCTACAGTGGTTCTAAGGTCACAGATAGAGCTTAAAACCTTGAATCAGACCCATGACAGAAGGAGACTCTCCTACTAAATGTTTAATCCCTTGCACTTCATGCACCACGGGGCTAAATCTAGGGGACACCTGCTCCTCCTATGGCCCGTTCATTCGCACATGAAAACATATATAAGTATATAATTAAAGAGCAAACTTAGATAACAATTCTGTTAACTGCTAATATTTCAGTACCAGAGAGACAGTAATGCCAGTTTAATGTATTTTGATAGCATTCAAAGGAAAAACTACATTGCCAGCAACATACCTTTGGGTCGGAAGCTTTAATGATAGCAGTAAATATTGCTTCCTAAAAACAACAAAAAAGCAAAAGGTCAGTTTTGAACTGTAAAAATTTGTGATTGATGCTGTGGAAGGGAGAGAAACTACACAGGGCAGAAGCTGTGACACGTCCAGGGCCTAAAGGGAGGGTTCAGTAGCAAACAGCTCACACTTCAGACAGCAGCAGCCAAGAAGTGACCCAATCCACTAAGACCCACTATTTTATGCTTTCAGAAAAAAATAAGTGTATAAAAGTCAGTCCGAGTAAACTAAAATCTTGTTCTGTATTGAAATTTCATGATTATCTTAAAATTTCAGTACTTCCCCACTTTTTTGTTCTTTTAAACATACCTCATCTTTTACAGTCTTGTACTCAGGTGCCACGTTGATGCAGAGCTGATTTCCATCCAGGGACATTGGAAAGCACGTATAGAATTTAACCATCGAATCGGCTGATTTTCTGTTTATTTCTAGATAGGCCTTTAAAAATAAGCAAGAAATGTAAGAAATTTCGGTTTTAGCAAAACAGTCTAAACCAACACCCAGTCCAATACATTATCACAGAGGCTTCTCCAGATATAACATCACTGAATGCCAATTAAAATACCTTCTTATGAGATGATAACATTAAGACATCTTTCAGTCCTCCAAACGGCTTTGTTAAGTTGGAAATCTCCTCAAGGGAGTATCCTTTCTCGGGCAGGTTTGAAATAAGAACCACACAGGTATCATCAAGCTCCTGTAAGTAAAAATTAATGTAATTACAAGTCTCTAAATCCGAACTCATGCATTATAAAACAGAGCATTATTACTGTGTAAAATTACCTTTACACCGCATGAAGACTGAATTATAAAGACTTGATTAAAAATACATAATTATACATGTAATAACCTGAAATGCAGTTGTTATTTAAACCTTTTAGGACACAGAAAGTAGCAGAAAGTGCTAAACAGCTTTTGTTTTTAATCCACTCTCTAATGATGTTGTATAATAACCTTAATTACTGCTTAACAGAGGATGCAATTTTAGATCAGACTAATTCTGCACACACCTTGGGTTCTCCCTGGCTCTCATCAGAAATCCAAATCAAAACCTGCCCTAATTCCATCATTCTTTTACTTGTATAATATGCTCACAGGTCAAAAGTACTTGCAGGTCTGCGCCATGCAAACACTGCACCTCGGGAGAATCTAACAGAAGTAGAAGAAACCCCAAGCGCAGCAGCACAGCTGAGCAGAGACCAAAGTAGTTTGGAGCTAAGGAAAGAGACTGTGTAAACTCTGAGCTGAAATAAATAAAAAATTAACAAAAATATAAGCCTGAAGTGTGATATGGTAGAAGCACCAAAATTTGGTGATCAAACCTACCAACACATGACAAAATGATTGCATGGCTAATTTATTATGAGCTGGAACCTTTAATATGGAACCAACAAGAAAACACGTAAATTGGTCCCTAACAACAGTGTTTGAAACAGCTGGGACTGTTTAGGCTGAGAAGACCATGGGAATCTTATCAAGGCACCTGAGTATCTGAAGAGGATGGGGCCAGATGACTTCACTGGCGCCCAGCAATAGGGCACAGGCAAAGGGCACTAACCAGAACACAGGAAACTGTCTGAATCTCGGGGAAAAAAGTCATGGTGAGGGTGAGTGAGCACCAGGACAGGCTGCCCACCGAGGATGTGGATACTCGGAAGCTCCCTGGACATGGACCTGGGCAGCCTGCTCCAGGTGACCTGGGCCCTCATCTCCAGAGGTCCCTTCCGACCTCAACTTCTTGTGATTCTGCAAAAAGAAAGCAAAATCCCCGGGGACAAAACTTCCACCATGTAACAGAACAGAAACACCTCGGTGCAATGCACGTTGGAGAGATCACCCTCCTTAGGACCCGAAGCAGGAAAACACTGCTTTTGTTTTAACTACGTTACTGCTAATGTCTATCCATACATTTCTAACTAAATCCACACCAAATTTAAGTAACTGGATTCAGGTAGCTTTATAAACTGACCTTGCTCATCGATTCCATCGATTCTTCATTCTTTGCAGTCACTATAGCAGTGTCTTAAAAAAAAAGAGGAGGGGAGGTTAATTTAATAGATTTCTTTTATGTTGAAGAACCTTAAAACTTCTTACACTGTCCATATATTTTATTTTATTATCCATACATCACCACTGTCACTAAGCAAATTGAAATATTCCATCATTTAACTCAAAAATATGTGTTTCGTTCATAAAAAAAACAGAATTTCGGTACAGGAATTAAGGTCGGTTTGCAATTTACCTTGATCAATTAAAGCTTCATTAAACTGATCTGACTCCACTTCCACCATCTGAGGCATCTGTGCAAGTTTCTCTAAAAAATAGTAATAATAAAATTCAAGGAGACATCACAGCACTAAGTTTCACACAACTTATAACTAGGAAAGTGACTTAAAATAGCACTAGCCCGTCACAAATACCTATGACTGGTGCAGGTTTATTCAGACCTTTGGCTTGAGACTCTACAGTCGTCACAAACTCTGCAGCTGTGTCACCCTCTGCAACCTCCTTTGGTCCTAACAAGTTAGTTTCCTCAGCTTCTATTTCTGGCTCTGTTGGTATCTTCACATCTTCGGGGTAATGTTCTTTAGATGGTGCTGGAAAGTAACAGAGGAGGGGAAAAAAAGTGTGCTTTATTTTAAAATATTGAGGAAAAAAAACTGATGTGCAAAATAGTTAATAATTTTCACTCTGATATGCAACAGCATCCTCTGCTCCCCACTGTAGCTCAGCAAGGAATCCCTGTGCAGGAAAGGCTCGGGTCGCCCAGCTTTGCAGAACACAGATATTGCTCTATTCAAGTGAAAGTGTTTAATTCCCAACTTTTCTCTCCCTGACACTTTGCTGGCCTAACTCTCCCCAGAGTACCAGTTATCGTGACATGAGCCATGTCCCGAGGTGCCAAACGCTGCTTCCTTACCCAGGAATTTACCACGTGGGCAGGAACGGGGATGAAAGGCTGGACTCGGCACCTTCACTACCTGTTCTAGGAGCTGGATGGACGAGAGGGGCGATGGAAGATCCCCTGCATGGGTTTGCCCAGGGAAGAGGAAAGCTCCTCATTTTGGCCTTACCTGCAGCATTTGACGGTTTATTGATTTCACTATCTCCTGTCACCAAGGCCTTCTGAGGTATTTCTTTTTTACCTAGGTAAAATAACCCAAAAGAAGCAGATCAGTAGAAACGCTTATTCCGTATGTTTTTGAGAAGCAAATGTAACAAGAGCACAAAAATATGTACAAAAATGATCTGCAACTCAAGCGCAGTGAGCTCTAAGCAGAAGACTCTAGTTACTTTAAAGCATGAGCTGACACAAAGAAAAAAAATCTGAAAAGGTAAATTAATTCCAAAACATTATTGAGAAAGCTACGAAATAGAATATCTTTTATAAATCTGTTTGATACCTTCCTCCTACCAAAAGGATTGGGTTTTTTTACAGTTGATTAAAGATGGCATTTTTGAAATGCACAACAGCAGCTCCCCACCAAAATAACACCTGGTGCCCAATTTGCTCAGGATAATTGTTCACGAAAGCTAACAAAATAATCAACAAAAACGGTCCAGCTGCCACTTCTGCTGTCTCGATAAAACAAAACTCTTCTGAAGTGTAACTGGCTTTTGAGGCATTTGCTGGGGCAAAGAGATTCTCTAATGATGCAACAGACAGGCTTGCCAGCCCAGTTTGAAACAGTTTCCCTTTGGATCATTAAAAGAGCAGGAGAGATTTAAAAATCCTTCAATTGTACAAGGAACATAAGCTGTGGAGAATCACTAAAAATAACTGTGCAACAGAATGTTATATATGTTAAAAAAGGCTTGGGGTGAATTTGGAGAATGACACTTATTTTATGGAGTCACGCCAACTTGCACAGTTCAGGACAGACATTTAAAAATAGGGAAAATTATCGAAGCATCAGCACAGGCAAGGCTCAAAGGGAAGATACGTGAAAGGAGGAGCCATTTGGGGCAGCTCTCTGCACCTGCTTTCAGCGGCTATGGAAAAAGTCCTCCCACTGAAACGGTGATGTGGAAAACGAGGAGGGAGGCGAAGCAGGAGGAAGCCTCACCTGTAACAACAGGTTTAGTCGTCTTGGTGTCGGCATTCTGATCTTTCCTGTCGTGAGGAGGTGGAGGAGAAAAGAACAGGGAAAAATCAGGTTCAAAGACAAGTAATCCATTTCAAAGCAGGGAAATTTCCCCAAAACATTAAAGTCAAAGCAAGCAGAGGCACAGCCCCATTTTCTTGCCAACTGTCAGCAGTAAATGTGATATTAACGAAGGTAAGGGCACACTTACTTTGTGCTTGGTGTGACTTTTTTAATAGTCTGAGCTATTTTTTTGATGTTCATTTTGGCCTGCAAGTTACAGAAAGAAGAACTTTTAGTGCCTGAGACCTTTACTGCACCATGACATGGCTGTTATTGCTTCACTGCGCCACATTATCGCGTCATATATTAGAGGTTGTAGCTTTTGCTCTTTGTTAAGCAGACACCGTTCACAAACATCAATTTCAAGCATGAAAAATGGAAAGCTGGGATTTGGTATTTGCAAGTAATGAGCAAGAAATAAATGTAGAAATACTTTTTTTTTTTTTCTTCTAGGGATTGTAAACGATTTTGCAGAGAAAGAAGTACAGAGCAATAGAAAGAAAATAAAATAAATAAAATTCTGTTCTGTATGAGGTGTTTACCTGGCTGAGAGGCAGCTTTGCCCTTTCTGCCACGCTGATCTTCACCCGCCTCCCATTCACCAGCACTGGCACAGTTTCCCCGTATTTCACAGCTGCTATCACTGCTTCTTTGTAGTTCATTTCCAGGAAGGCCTACAAGAAAGGGCACTTGCAGTTATGTATTTATAGCAGTGGTACAAAATAGTTTGGTTTTGGTTTTTGCTAGAAATCCTGCTCACGTCAAAACTTCTTTCTCCAATTTCATGTGAAGCTTGATGAAAAATCACTTCATTTTTACCGAAAGAGCATCCTAAACCCCACTAACAAGTTAGACACAGCAAGCAAGGCTGGACTTACAAAGCTATCAGTCCCAATTGTTTCAAATGCATACATGCAATCTTTAACGACTAACTATTTAAGAGGCCTTATCCTGTTAGGAGCTGGGGATCCAGTACCAAGCTTTTTATTGTTTCACAGAATATTTTGCATTTTGGACACACAGACAACAGAGCTGCTGCACAGGAAAGCCTACCTCGTTCCTGGAGCGGAGCACAAGGAGGTCACTGACTTTGCCAAACGGCTGAACGATTTTTTTAATATCTTGATCAGAAAAGCCATCATCTGGTAAATCAGATATTTGAAGCACTGTCCCACAATTCAGCAGTTCTTCTCTCAATAGCTAAAAACGGAAGACAAAATAAACCTCAAAGTTACTCCAAGTCTGAATCAGGCAGAGTATTAGCTGTGGTATTTCGAGTATTATGGTTAATTCAAGCATGGATCCACAGTTCTGTTCTTCCAGCACTTTCTAAGTTTAAGCTTATCGTAAGACCACATAGGATCACAACAGAGCACTGAAATGCTTCCCTTTGGCTTTCCTGAAGTATTGCCGAGGGGCACAACTTCTGTCACCAGGGCTATAGGGGTGAGGAGCTGGGTTCCTTCCAGCAGGCCCTGTGAGCTTCCAGTGGCCCTGGGCAGCCTTCCCTGCTTGTCAGTCAGAGGCCAGAAGCCCCCAGGGGTGACTGCAGCCACCACGGCCACACAACAGTAACTACAACACTCGGGTAACGTCCACAGAGTTGCTCCAAGAGATCCCCACGGTCGCCAGGAGGGACTAAGGTGACATTGGTTCAGCTCCTCCGTACGCCAGGACTGGTAATTTCTCCGTGCTCCAGCTTCCCTGTCCACCCAGCGATAATCCCCTGTCTTCTCCCTATCCTTCACTCCCACTTACGCAGCAGATTCTTCCCGAGAGAGGTCATCGCTCACGACATTCACAAACAAGCAGAGGCTCCAAATTAATGGGCGGCTCTCCGTTCTGCTGTGAAGCGAACGGCCCTCACCCTTTCCACCAGCCACGAGCTCCCTGGGCTCCTCACCGGCTCACTGCTCCCCGGAACAGCTCTGCACCAACCGGCAACATCCATCACATACTGGATACGACACCTAACCAAACTCCTCAAAACACAGAAGAAATATAAGGAAACCCACCCTGTTGTAAGGAGTAGGACGAGGTCCACTGGTCTCTGTGAATAAATCTTCCTCATCTTCTTCCATTTCTTTGCTTTGGGGCGACTCATCCAACTCAGGAGACTTGGATTTCGAAGCACTTGAGCCATGCGGAGGAGACGAGTCTTTCCTGGAAGTCTTGGGAGAACCACTAGTTTTCAGGGGCTTCTTCACATTTCCTGGCCCTTTCCCTAAGGGTCCATGGGAAGGGGGCGATTTTCCCGCTCCTGAAGATCCCGGCCCTGCAGCTTGGAGAGGTTTGTGCTTATTGAGCTCTGCCACAAAGCCAGGCCCCAGGCTCTTCACTACCGCCTCCAAAGTTGCCTTTTTGTCTGTGTGGGGATAAAAAAAAAAAAAAATGACTCTTAATAGATATCTACTTTGATTAAGTGTAATCCATCCACAGAGCTGCCAGAGCAGCCCTCCCGGCCCAACCCGTCGGCTCCTTCCCTTTCCCACACATAAGCACCACGTCTGCAGTCACCTGGGCTCAGCTCAGCCTCTTCTCTGGAGGAAAACACAACGGAGGGATCCCACATGTTTTATTTGGCCCTCCAGTTATTCTCTTTACACTTGGCTGGTCTCTGGCTCACAGGCTGCTCTAAATGGTGCTCCCAAAAGCCAAGATGACTCTGGCTAAGCTGCTCACAGCATCTCACGCCTCTTTTGTTTTTACAGCCCTCCATGACATTTGGATTTTCTCTAATAGTCTGGCACTCCCTAAGGCATTTCTCTGGCATCCACCGTGCATTTTCTGTTATCACTCGGTCTCTTCTGAAAAGCTGCCAAAGAAATTGCTGGTCATTTGATATTTATGCAGCTGAACACTCCTGAATTAGAAGGGAGTTAACATGCACTTGTCTGCACTGAAATCCACCTAATTTTCTCCAACTTGTCCAGTTTTCTTTGAATTCTTGCTCTGTCCTCTGTTTTCACCTCCTATGCATCTTTTTATGGAGGTCTGTGGATCTCACAATTTAGCTATTTACTGCCTCTTCCTCTCAGTCTTCTACGTGGGTCTATGACAGTTTGTCTTTTACCCTTAAAAAGATCTCTCTGCCATTGCCTGGCACTTCCCACTGCTTTACAGACTTCTCTCCTACAGAAGAGCTCAGCACCTCCTCATTTTCTAAGAGTGATAAAGCCACAGACACGGATCAAACTTTAACATTTCTCCATTTTTCTCCCACTGGAACTTGGAAAGAAACGAACCCTCCCAACACCCTGGTATTCCATCCAAGAGAGGTGGTTCAAAACCAGTCACCCAGGACAGCGTTCGTGCACGATTTCCTAGAACCACCAATATTTTTCCATTACATGTTTCACATGTTTTCAAACAGGATGCAATAAGCTGAAGGGAGGGAAGGAGAATGGCACAACAAACAGCTGCTACCAAGAATGCAGCAGTGAGAGCCTGCCGGGTTCCACCCGTTTATCTCAGCTAAGTTATTTACAGTCCCTTCGTGGGACCCCTGGAAATTCCACCTCAATGGGACGCAGTTTCACCACAGCACATCACTCACTCTTTTTTTTCCCCCTTCCTCTATATTGCAGTTGCAAAACAGCTTCTTGCTGAAGATGAGGAATCTCCAAATACTTTCAATCCTTGCCTCTCCTCCCTAGCTTAAAAAATGACTGCAAACAGAAAAGAAATTGCTCGAGTAGTATCAAAGTCACTCGATACTACTCATCGGTCACTGAAAGGAGGCGAAGGAGGCTTCAGATTTTCTGGAATAACCATTTTCCCCGAAGCACGAGCCCGGGATGCGACAGGGCAAGAGATCTGCAAATCCTCGTGACCCGTACCTGGGGACCGGGGGTTCCTCCGGGAAGCCCAGTCGTTGCTGGAAGACCTGGGCGGGCGCGGGCCGCTCCTCAGCGGATTCCTGGCGCGCTGCGGCGAGCGCGAGCGGTGCCGGGGGCTGAGGCGCCGCGGCTGCCGCGGGCTGCGGCTGCGGGGCCGCGCGGCCCTGGGGCGCCCGGGGCTCCGCGAGCGGGAGCGCGAGCGCCGCGGCCCGCAGCCCGCGGCGGCGCCCCGGCAGCGCCGCGGCCCGGGGCTCGCCGAGCTCGAGCGCCGCCTCGGCGTCTGGTTCTCCTTGCGCTCGCCACCATTTCTGAGGGAATAAAGGCACTGAGGGAGTTTCAAGGCAGTTCAAGGTTAATTCGCGTCTGGGGAAACCAAATCCAACAAGGCACATAGAGATTACTTTATTAACAAGCATACTTTAATCACCAGTAAGAAGGCTTGCTACAGAAATTTAAGACAGAACCAAAAGAGAAATGAGTGGCAGACAAAACCCTGCCCGCAGCAAGGAAAAGCTGTAAAGAAGCCTAACCCTAAGGTTACAGTTAGGCTTCTTTCCAGCTGAAGTTACAGGCTGTAGTGCTACAAAAAAAGTGCAGGAGGAGGAAAGGGATGCATGAAATGGAGACATGGACTAGGATATTTCTTGGTTCTTCCTAATTTAGTTTGAGAGCAGGGAAGCTCGAGACCACATCTCTGTAAGACTGAGACCGCATCTCTGTAGGACTGATTTGCTCTGAAGGAGAGATGTGAAATGGATGCCACAAATCTGCCCCAATTGCACATTTATGGTACCGAGGGGCGCAAGGCAGACGCAGAACAGGGCAGGAAGGCCTGGGGAGGGGGTCAGCGAGACCAGAGGCGCCAGGAGAGGGGCAGCGTGTTACGCTGCGGTGTCTGCCCCGTTTCTGGGCGCGTGGCGCATTCTGCGAGGCCGGGGACGTCCCGCGCGGCCTCGGGAGCGGCCACGCGCCTACGCGGCCCCGCGGTGCCGCTAAAAGCAGAAGCAGCCCCTGGCACAACCAGTCCTCGAGCAAGAGGAAGGAAACGCAACCGCGCAGGCCACTGCTGCTGAAACACCCACAGAAACACAAGGAAAGAGCCTCGTGGTGCCCAGCACCGCTGCCCTTCCAGCGAGGGCACTGCAGGACACCTGCACAGCCCGAGTCCTTCAAGGCAGCCTGGAGGAGCAGTCTGTATTTTAACCAAAAAGCTCTGGAGTTCGTTAATGATCATTTGCAGAGGCTCATGAGAGATGCTGCATTAAAAGCGCTTTGCATCATTTATAATGAAAATAAAGCAGGATGAAGAGAGGACAGCTGGAGAGGACACAGCGCCGCGCGGGGCCGGGGACCTGCCCGCACTCCAGACATCTGTCCTCGGGGCCGCCCTCTCCGACGTGTTGTCATCACAGAGGGATGTGAGACAGCACCACCCTAGGAAGCCGCCCTGGTCCCACCTGCAAGCACACGAGATCGCTCACGGAAAGCAGCCTCAAACCTGTTCCCTTTGCCGAGCGTCTCTAGCTAAGGGCAGGTCTCACCCTCTGGGCTCCTTATAATCCCAGCAGGACTCAACAACCTCCAGCAAGCTCCTTTGGAGGTTTCAAAAATGTCGCTCTTCTCTACATGAAAGACTCGGGAGCTACTCTTTGCTTAGTAACACAGAGGGACCCCAGCTGCACTCTCAAATTAACCCGACCTACATTTTGATCTTCCCAACGCGTCTTACCACACGGAAGCTTCCCAGGAATTGTGTCCAACTAATTAATGGGAAGTGCCAGGGCAACTCGGAAAAAATAAAAACACCACAGTTCCTATTTGCAAGCAAGCAAAATGCGTGCAAATACTGAAGGGGTAAAATAATCCCATCTGGCTGAGGTTCAAGGAGCATTAGTCCACAGGCTGCGTTTTCAAAAGCAGGGTAGTTTGTAAGGACAGAAGAGACATGAGCTCATCTGCTCCATGGGCTGCAGCTTGTGATCGCTCGCTTCCCAGGGGACCTGCAGAACAGCCTAAGGAGTCTGCAAAACGTGGCTGAAACGCAGCACAAGGTCAGAAAGGTCTCAAGGGGCCAACAAGAATGTCCCTGGGACAAACAAAACGCTGCAAAGGTGGAGGCCACCCAGGTGTTGGTCACCGATCCAAAACAGGTCCCAGTCCTGTCCCGTCACGGCTGCTGACAACGTTGCTCTTGCAACTTTTCCACCAAGTCTGTTCCACGCATGGGAAGGACGTGAGACACCAAGTCACCTTCTTATTTGAAGGATTTAAGACCAAAAAGCACAGAGACCCCATGCAGTTTACAAAGAAAATACACCACCACTAACAAAGCTTCTCGGTGAGCAGAACAGGAAAATTAACTGCAATGTTTATCTTGTGCTTTCAGCAGCACCACATTAACACGAACCCGCAATCAGCAAGCAGTTACCTCTTTGAGGAATGAGCCTCGGGATTCCAGTCGGGGTACCTGTTAAAGGAGGAGCACACGCGTGTGAGGGGCGGAGCGGCCGCCCCGGCGCGCTTCCCGGGGCCAGGCAGCAGCCCCGGCGGCGGCTCCGCGCGCGGCACGCCACGCGGCAAACACGGTCCTTACTGGTGACGTAACTGGCGGCAGCTCTCGAGGTGCGCCGGGTTGTTCTGGTGCAGGATCCAGTCCTAAGTGCACAAAAGAGAGGCACGGGCGCGGGGTTAGTGCGGAAAACGCAGCACGCGGCCCAAAGAACAGGAAAAGGCTTCACTGTGCCTATCTGCCACTGCTGGCAACCTTACCTAAGGGCATCGGCTGTCACGTCCATGTTCCCAGGTCAAGCTACTATTCCTTATGATTATTATTCCTAACAATTATGGCAGGCTGTTAATGAATACATACGAGTTTAAGCGGAAGGGGAGAAGTATCACAAAAAATAAGCTCCTTCAATCAGCACGCTACACGCTCATCGTATCTCTGCATTTTGAAATTCAAACAAGTAGATCCAATAGATCATGACGCTTTAGGGAGAAAAGAGCAATTTTCACAGATTTACCAGACTGTGTAAATATATACCTATCAAAATAAGCTGAATACATCATGTTTAAGAGAGAACCAGAAACAACGCAGTATTTTCAAGTCAAAAATCAGAGCTAGAGGCATAAATTTTCATTCCTTAAACTCAAGAACCATCACTCACAACACCACGTTCCAACCACAGATCCTCAAAAAGACTTCATAAATTTACATATAGGAAGAACATTAAAAGAATTTCAACGTGGGCAGCATCTGATGGGTTAAGTATCAAAGCCAGAGGATGATACGAGCCCCGTCGCTGCTTTAACTGTAAGCACACGATTAGTCTCCACTCCAGCTAGAGAGAAAACAACTGTGGAATTAATGGGATTTTTCTGTAGACTGGGGCACCAGAAACTCCATTAACTTCCTTTTTTCTTCTACGAAATTGCCTTGCTGGCAAAAGCAGCTGCTAGAGAAGGGATGCTGTGAAAAGAGGGAACACCGAATGGTCTGAGATTGCCAGGTGTTGAGCACCACCAAGAAGTAATACTAAATATCCTTAGGAAATACAACTTGCACCTGCTTTAGGGTTTTAAAGCAGGCGTCACTGGCTGAATTATGCAACTGACGCTGCTTTTATAAAGCAAGGCTTATAAAACAGGTCGGTGTCATGAAATCATGTACGGCTCTTCCTAAGCACGCGCTGGCTGAAGATCACAAAACGTTTAGGTGACTGAATCAAACTCCTGTGCTCTGCAGGAAAATGACAAACACTTTGGTTCAAAGAGATGCTTGTGATGGTAAGTTAAGGTTTACAAAGGGGGAAAAAGGGATTGAACCAGACGGGAGCTGATGGTCTACACAGTAGCAGCACAGAAAACCTGTGCTCGCACCTAGCGGGAGCCTCAGCCTTCAAATGACACCTACCAGGCTGCCACTGGCACTAGTTTAAGCAGCAGAAAGCAGGGTGTTTAAATAACTTAAAATACGTTTTTAAGCACAAGGCTGGCTACCATTCCCTGAAGATACAGATAACACGGGCTAACCAAACTTGGAAAAGGAGAAACGTCACGGCTTGGAGCACAAAGCTTTGGGAGGCCGCTCTGCGGCATGTGCAAGCCGGGCCGGAGCTGTGTGCGGGGACCTTCTCCCCAAGAACAGGTCCCCTCCTTGCTGCTCGGGGCCCTGCGCGCCGGCGCCCAACGCGCTTCACCCGCTGCGGAGCCCGGGGGTCCCGGCTGCCGCTTCCCCTGCTGCGCAGGGGGCTCCGCTCGGGAAGCGGCTCGGAGCCGCGGGATGAGCCGCGGGACCCGCCAGCGCTCCGTGTTGGTGCCAGGCCCCGGAGCGCTGCTGAAATCCTGGGGAGGCAGGAGCTGAGGGAGAACAAGGGAAGCAGCAGCAATGCAGAGGGAGCGCATCCGCCCCGGCTGCCCTGGCTTCAGGACATTGCACAGGAAAACCGGGAATGCCCACATCGGAATCGCAATCTGCTTCCTGACTTCAGCAAGGAAGCACAAGCATAATCCCTAATGCAGGAAACAACGCATCCACGGGGCTCTACACCACACAAAAGCCTTCAAAATCTTTTAAATATCAGTAAAATTACAATGGTGATGCACAGTTCCTAGTCATCAGTTTCTCATAAGCACAATCCTTTGTAAATCCATTTTATTTCTGAAGTGACGTGTTTGAAGACAGAGAAACCACACTTAACTGCCCGAACACAACCGGAATGCCCGGCTGGGAGCAAAGCTAGCCTGTGTCCATTAAGCATTCTGGTGCTTTTTGTAATAGAAAAGAACTTCTTGTTCAGGAAAACATAAATATATTTGAAAGAAGATAACATAGAGTTAGGATTCCAGGGCAAACGAAACTTAACTCAAGGCAAAATGACTTTTTCCCCAAAAAAAGGCTGCAGAACCCCAAGGCACAAATTCACGATGAAGAAGAACCCTTTCCAGATCAATAAGTCATCTTAGTGTCAATACATTTTCCTTTTTTTTTTCCCCATTTTAAACTGCTAAAATTTCACACACACCTTCCTGACTCCAGGTACAGGGAGCACGGCCCTTCCTGGCACGAGATGACAAAAGCACAGGTCTGTTTGCACCACCCGCACATCTGCTGCGCTCCAGTAAAACCGGCTGTCCACTTCAGGGTAGGCACCACTCATTTCCCACGCAGCGACAGGCGGCTCTGGTGGGAGGAACGGGTGTTTTTAAGGCCGTTTCGTGCAACGGCTCCAGGCCTCGGCACACTGTCCTCCAAGGCTTTCCGCGGCGCTGGCACCGCCACGCAGCGTTTCATGGGATGATTCTACCTGTGCCTTACAAAAAAGGTTGCAAAGCTTAAAAATATAGCGATTGTCCAGAGGCAGCCTACAGCAGGCACAGGATACTGTAATTTTGGCTTCTGAGCTGCGTATTATCCACAAAGTGGAAGTCACAGGAAGAGTTCAGGATGCTTTTCCAACTACAAAAGGACTAGGATACGTACATGAGTATGGACCTGATGCTCAGAATATACAGCTTTTAAACGCTGCAAAAAAAATCAAGGCCTCCTTCAGCTTTGATTTCATCCAGTGTCGTTAATTAAGCGAGTTAAATAGTTAAGACGACCTGCAGGGAGAACAGATTGGATGCTCTGGGGAACTGCCAGAACACTTTTTTACTCCAAAACAGTCAGTTTTCCTCTGCAGCTACCGGAGAGCGAAGCTCAGGAAAGAGAGAATATTCCAGAGGGTGCCGATATGAAGCTCTGGCCACTCGTCGTCACGGGACAGCCAGGGGGAACGAAGGAGCAGCAAGAGCCGGGTCCCACATTGGGCTGTAATGCTGCTATTTCAGTGAAACAGCGTCAGTTAGTGCATTGCAACTCCCTTCCCACAGGGTAGTGCAACTTCTGCTTCCACCTTCACAGGAGAACGGACTCCTGGAGGAGGCTTTAATTCTGGACAAAACTGAATTAAAAAAGACTACCAAAAAAAGCTAACCACATATAGCCCAAATACGAAATCTCTCCATTTAATCTATCCATTGATAGTTCTATCAAAATCCATCCATTCAGCTGGAACTGAAGCTTGCCGGACGTCCAATCTCTTCTGCAGTTAGCGAAAGCGAAGGTTTTCCTCGCGTGGCACCGTCCATGGCCTGCAGAACGCACGGGCTGTTCTGCACCGCCCTGAGCTGCTCCCTCAGCGGCCCCAGGGCTTTGCAATCTGCCGTATATGCGCAAGGCTGCCGTTTGCACCACTGCATTTCTAAAGCCCTCCTACAGCTTGACATTGTGCACCTGAATTTACCCTGTCTAATCATCCTGTCCCAAGAACAGCTCTGAAGGTGCAGACCATCCAGATGCACCAGGACAAAGCGAATTCCCACCGAGCTTGCTTGGTATTCCTTCTCCGACAGGATGCAGCAGCGGATGGCGAGGACGTAACAAGGCAGAGATGAACCCAGAAACCACCGTCAGGCTCCAGACATCTGCTCATCGGGGATGTCTTGAGCCCTCTGAGGGAGCTGTGCAGAGCCTTCACAGGAGCTTCTTTGAATTTGCCCAGTTACTTCCAAAACTTTAAAGGCAAAATGTGAATGCCCAGAGCACCTCTAGCCACGCACTGGGACAAGCAGGCAAGCACTTCATCTGCAAAGTCACACTGTGAAAGAGGAGCAATTTTTCATTCTTCAGCACTTGCAAACACGCAAGACTAAGACTTCCCCAAGAAAATTTATTCTTTGCATTTAATAAATAAAATCCACACTCTAATTCTTCCAGTTATTTTACAACAGTTGCCTAAATATGGCCTGTCCATGAAGCCTCAAGGAAGTCCAAACTGTCTACTCGGCAACAACAGCCAGACACGAACAGCAGCAGCAGCAGCAACAACTAGTATTGGGATGGAAGTTACCACAGGCCAGAGCCAGAAGCAGTCACGACACGGAGAAAAGGTTGTGCAGCTGCAATGGGGTCGGCCAGCGCGGAGCCCACGCGTTCCACCGGACTGCTATTAGGACAAGGAGAAGTTGTAGCCCTCGGTCTCCCCATAAAAATTCATAGCTGTTCCTCCAGCGGGTATTTTTAGTAAAGATATTTACTGAGTTTTAGAAAGCAGCAGTCAGCAAGCTACTGAATAATTCACATTTAAATAGAGCAATGAGACAAAACCCTTTGGAAAAAATACATTAGCACAAGCCCAAGTCTGTCAGCATATTCGATTTCGGACATTTCTCTCTCCAACTGAGCTCCCCTTTAAGCTCCTGGGTCTGGCTAAATAGCGGCCCTTCCTGCTCGCCCTCACTATGTGCAGTGTGGAAGCACTCGAGAACACGTTCCCCCTTGGAAACCTCCGATCCAGCTGCCACCTTCCGGGCTATTCACTCGCTTTTATTAATATGCAGCACGAGTAACATCCAGAAATCTTACATAATTTTGGCACATTGAACAGAGGAAGGAAAACAAACAAAAAAAAAGAGACAGAGAGAGATGCCCTCCAGGCTCTCCATGCTTGCCAGAGACTATTTTAAAACAGGTGAATTAAATAATGAATTATAATTTTTTAATTGCATTCCTCTGAGTTTTTGACATACCCAGCCTAGATCTTTCGAGAAAAACCTCCAGCTTTCCCAATATTCCCCAATTCCTTCCTTTTTTTCCTTCAGGAGCTGCGGCCGTTGCTTACTTCCCCGGCGCAGCTGAAGGCGGGCGTTTTGTGCCGCCCTCACAGAGGGCCCTCAGTCCCCAGCACTGCGCTTGGCCATGACGTTTTTGCAGATAAACGGGCTGCTTTGTTCGAGCACAGACCCCGCCGCACTGGGGCCCAATACATCAAAATCTCATCTACATTCCTAAGATTCAGCATCAAACTTCTGCAGCCTTTTCGGTCACAAAAACCATGTCAGTATTTAACGCCCCCAATAAAAGGGGTTGTTTTGTCATTTTAAAGCCAGTGCAGAAAATATGGAGGATTGGGTTTTTCTTTTTTTTTTTTTTTTTTTTTTTTTTAATATGAAAGAGTAACCAACGTGCATGGCAACTCTGAAATAAAACTACAAAAAAACAGCGAGGAGAGCAAAGTTACACGTATTTCCTAGCATCGTTTCTAGTATTTTAAGCCCTTCATGTGAGCTCTCAAACGGGAGCACAGTCCCGCAAGTCATTTAAGGCACAATTAACATCAATTAGCTCCTAGAGCCCTGCAGGAGGCAAGCTGCTGCGTACAAGCTTAGGCAATAATCTTTGAAAGCCACTCACCTTCATATGAGTGCATTCAATGTTACACAGAGAACACATATGTGGGAATATTCGTGGCGATGTAGCATAGTAGTCATTCATCATCGAGGGGGTGGGCAACCTTTTGATCTTCTGGGCATCGGCCTGGGGGAACACGGGCAGCCAAGACGCTTTCACCAGAGCGAAAGGAGGCTTGAGGGGCCCTTCTGCCTGCGCCGGGAAGGGCTTCGGTCCCGCTCCCGGGGCGCTCTGGGGCCCGGCCGCGCTCGGCACCGGCTCCTGCGGAATTCGCTCGTGCTGGCTCACAGCTGCAAGAAGTTCAGCCGAATAGGGCGGCTGGGCCAGGGCGGGCATCACGTGCTGGGCCACGGGCTGCTGGACGAGAGGTGGCATCACGGGCGGCATCATGGGCTGCGCCAGGGGCGGCATTATAGGTGGCATCATCGGGGGGATGACCGGCGGGACCGCGGGCTGGGACACCGGCTTCACCACGGGGAGCCCCGCGGGTGCTGCGCACAACGCGGACACCTTCCCGGCCGCCTCCGGGGCGAAGAACGACCGGCTGCTGGAAGACTCGTTCTGGAATCCCATCTGCTTCATTAGCTCCTCGACTGGAAACGTGCTGTTACACGTCACGCCGGACTGCAGGACGCCCAGGGACATACTCGCATCCCGCGGGAAGTCTTCCCTGCTCTCGCCGCTCGATACTTCGGGATTATAGACGCGCACGTCCAGGGGATCCTCAGTTGGTACTTCAGGGTTATAAACACACACCTCAAGAGGATCTTCAGTGTAACCGTATTTGCTCGCGTGACCGTAATCAATCACTTTACTCTTGACTGCTGGACCGCCCGCGCTGCCAACTGCTTCTTTCCCTCGGCTCCGAGGGTGCAGGGTGGACAAGGGACGCCCCATTTTACGAAGCCTTATCTCTCTCAGGATCAGCGGCATGTTCTCAGGGGTTAGCTGGTCATCCGGGTAGCGGCTGAGCTCTTCCAGATCTTCATTGGACAGCCCAAAACTCGCTAAAATGCTGGAAGCGCTCTCCGTCGTGTAGCGGCTCTGGGCGTTGGAATTCTGCTCCGTGATCCGTGCCGGAGCAGACGGCTTTTGCGCGGCTGTCCCAGCGGCTGCGCAGGGGCTGCTATCCCAGCGACTCGTACGAGCTTCTCCCTTGTGCTCTTGGTGTAGGTTCGTCTTCTCCTTTACCTGCCTCGGATCCGCTCTGTGCTGAGTTACCTGAACGTTTGTGCGCTGCAATCCCGTCCACTGAAAGGTTTCCTGGCCCGAGAATCTCGGCGACATGCCTTGGGGCGCTCCAGGAGCGGGCTTTCTCTGCAGACCTGCCGTGCCCCCTGCCCTAAAGGAGCCTTGAGGCTTTGTGCCAGGCGGGTTAGGTCCTCTCGGCCTCTGAGGCAAAGTTCCTCTAGGGCTAAACATCGCGATTTTCAGAAACGCCTGATTTAACAAAGCATAGGGAGCTGCAGAACCGTTTGTAGCAGCTGAGGTCAATTGCTGAAGAGCCAACTGGGTCTTAATTTGTGCAAGCTGTAAAGGAGGAGGGCCCAACAGAAGCGGCCTTGCAAGGCCAAGGTTCAAGGAATTCACAAGTGGTGCGAAACTTTCCAAGAATAACACAAAGCTGAAAGTTAAAAGACAAGTATTAGATTATTTTATCGTTTCACCTACTTTACGCAGTGGATTCTATAGCCGGTGAAAAAAACACGTGAGGTCATAAAACCCTATTTCAATGACAGCTTTAAATGATACTTTTGAATTTGATATTCTTTTTGGCAAGACCATTTTCTTTTGCTGCATAAAATCATATCCACCAGATAATTTTACCAAACAATTTCAGTCTCACATAACGTATCCAGTTGTTTTAATTTTCTACGGTATTTTCTAAATAAACTGACATTTTAATTCTAAGTGACAGCCCTTCAGATTTCTTTAAATTCAGAGTTATTTTATGAGCAGTAAGCCAAAGTATTAGAAACATCTCCAAATGTTTACAAGTATGAATTACAAGTGAAATCATTATGTAGAAAATCCCAAACAGTCCCAGCTTGGACGTTAAGTCACTGTGGAATCAATTTGAAGGCAGTGGATAAGTTTGCAGAACAGGCACTCCCATGACTGCTCTCCGGGGTAAGCTACTATACTCTGAAAGTATTCAAAGGGTGTGACAAAGGGATTTTTGAGTTTTGTGGCTAGAAAATTTCTTTCCCAGCTGTTAAAGGCAAGATCTTCATACAGAAATTCAAATAGAAAGGTGTAAAATCAGCTAAAAACTGAAACCATTCACGTTCAAGAATAAAACACGCACAAGGGCAAGGGAAACTACCATCTTTTATTTCAGCTGAAACCACTTTGGAAGTCAGTCCTGCAAGGTGATAAAAGAACACAGAAATACAGGAAAGGAAAAAAAAGTGAGGCCCAGACTAACGAAACATGAAATACTCCAGAGCTTCAGAAACATGTTCTTCATGTGGAGGCACAAACTCGAGGAGCTCTTTCAAAGCAGGACCCCTCATCTGCACAGTTCTGCCTGCATTTGCAGTGCCCCCAAACCAGGAGGGTCTGGAAGGACCCCAAGGGGTCCTTAACTCCCACCCTTATCCATCTGCAGCCTCCTGAAGCTGGATGATCTGATGGTCCCAATGGTTTCAATGAGCTCTGCTAGCAGATTTCCACTGAGTATGACCATAACACAGCTTGTAGATGTCCCTGGTTGTTTTTAAGCCTGCCTGTGGTGTTTCTGGAGCACGGAGGTTTGAAGCTCATTCAAACTGACCTAAAAAAGGAAGTAAATGGAGGTGCTTCTCTCATGTTTGTAAACACAGTTTGTAAAGGTTAAAGGTCTCAAGTTTGAGAACCACAACTCAACAGACAACAACCAAAGCTATCGCTTGAAAGCTCAAAGTCACACACAAGAGTTTCTGTTTTTAAGGATCCATTTCTGCATTTTGTCACTACCTACACGTGAAACATCTCCAAGTTCCACTGGTCCCATTTTAGCTACGAGTCCAACGAGATGCACCAGCTGCAATAACTTTACGCCTCCTCTCCACCACAAAAACACACAGGAAGTCCTCGTAAAGGGGGGATTCCCATTGGATCCACTATTCCTTCTTCCTGAAGCATATTAATCCTATGTAAGTGGTACCTGCATGCCATCCCAAGCTTATTCCACAACCCTTCAAAACAGACTATGATGCAAACATTGACAGAGCAGTCTCTGGTCTTTCCGAGTTCTCCTTCCCAACAACTCTCAACAAAAACCTCTCATCCCATTAACCTGGGAAGCACCTGGTGCAGCATAGGAGAGCCATCCATAACACGACCAAGAATACATTAGTAGAAAACGCTTGAAAAATAAGCAGACAATGGGGCAAACAGAGCCTTAATTGCGTAGATTAGGAAACAAACAAGTTCTACAGCTCTGCAAACCTCTTTGTAGAGTTTGAGGACCATTAACATAGTCACAGACGATGATCTGGGCAGCAGGAAGTAGAAGAGGACAACAAGCATACTCCATCGGTCGCCTGATATCGGATACTTCTGAGATGTCTTTTGTTTTATGACTTTTTTTGACAATTGTCACTCCAGAAAAACTTCTATTGCACATGGTGCTATCCAACAGGGACATATTCCTTTCCTAAGTCAGCAAAATAAGATAACAGACGTGGAGAATTTATCTCTAAAAGTAAGGCTTTTAGGTTCTCCATCGCAATGATGGACTGAAGAAATACAAAAGACAAAACTTCAGCACATAAAAGGCTAGTCCATGAACATATTCAAAATGAGCAAAGTAACCTCAAAGCTCAATTTTTAAAAAGCAGCTTTATTCATGCTCTACAGTTCTTAACGCCCTGAAACCTACCTGCAATGAAACAACACCTGGGACTTTAGCAAGGCCTGAAGTGAGGCCAGTATTTTGGAGATGATACACCTAGGAAATCAGTCACCTTGTCAACTGGCCTTAACTACATCTCAAATAACAGCAAGTGGAAGCCAAGTGGTTGAGCTGCACTTCTGCTGAGCTAGTTGCATGCTACGATCTTCCTCTTGCATCCAGAAAGCAGCTGCATAGCAGCAAGCGAGCAGTGAAACCCCAAAGAGCCACGTTTCACAACAAACCTTTCTGAAAAAAATTGCTGCAAATAACAGAAAGATTAAGCAATTCCAACATTATGACTCTCTGTAAAATAATATTGGGGCATTTAAGGCCAGATTTTCTATTTCCTCTTTCAAAGAGGCTCTTTTTGGGATGGCTTTGCAAACTTCTACACTATTTTTCCTGCTACAGTGACATCTTGATTAGAAACTCCAAGCAAGGAGAGGCTGGCACTTAATCACAAGTAAACGAAAATTAGGTGAAATTCCCCAAAGGCAAATGCTCCTGCAAGTGCTTACTTGGCTCCTGAAAAAGCCCTTGAAACTCAAAATTTCAGAGTAACATAAAGCAGAGCCAAATGATGTTTTTTCCTGCTTTGCGTTCAACTCCCTCAGTCCGTTTTGCAGAGTTCCCCATTCCAGGTGGATAAATCCAAAGCTCTGGACTTCCACGCTAGAGCTCTCTAAATAGCTGCTCTATTTGCTGCCGTGGTGGCTGTGCTGCACCTGCCCTGCCTTGACCACACGGCCAGACCAGGCTGCAACCAGCTCAAAGTTCCTGCCCTCGCAGAGTCCCGTTTGGTGTGTTGCAAGGATCCAACAAACTGCTGAGCGGCAAGAATAAGTTCTGATAATGTCTGGAGAGATAAAAAGGGACAAGTTACAGATCGAGATGGGATCGCTGAAACTGATACCTCCAGTAGCTCAAGGATTCAACAGGACAAACACCGACACAGGACAACTTGAAACTGTGAAGTGAAAAAACAACAACAAAGAGCAGGGAGGTGGTTCTGAGAGCAACGACAGCAACTCAACAGCACGGAGGATGCCCAGCCTTTCCCCTCCTAATCCCAGCTGCCCAATAAATACCTTTTGGCTGCCTGCCTGGGGTAGAGAGCATAGCAAGCCCTAGGACTCAATAAACCATTGCCAATCTTTCTATGTATTAGCAATAAATAACTGCTTACATTTTTAAACTCAATATATCCTGTTTCCGGCGCCTCTTTGTGCAAGGCTAATGCTGACCAAAATGACCCAGAGCGGGATATTAACAAAGCTGAATTTACTAAACAAACCTGGAGTGAAGCAAGGACGGAGACGCGGAATAACCTCTCTGCTAAGGATACAGGGAGCTGCAGTCACGGGATTATGGAGCTGCAGCTCTGCTGATCAGGAGATTTCATGCAAATACGAGAAATTCCACAGAGGAAAAAGGAAATACAGCAGTGACCAGCAATGTTGCTGAGTTCAAGCTCTTGGGATTGGAGGTGGGGCAGAAATAGTTGTGAAATACAAAAAAGAAAAAAAAAGTCAACAAAATAGGAGGCTTAAGGTAAAGGTTTGGCAATGCTGGGAGCTGCTTTCTCTAATCACAAGAGAAAGCTTTGTCGGACAATAGGGTTTAGCAAAATCCACCAAAGCGTACTTTTCTGCTTATTTGTCTCTCTAAACAGGCCTAACTTCCCCGGCTCCGTGCAAATCCCACAGCAGTCATGTGGAGATGAGGCTGCAAAGCAAGGACATTTCGGCAGGGCAAGCACTGCACACAAACACTCTTACCAAACAAGTAGTCTCCCATAGCCAATATTTTCACTACACAAAGAGCAATGGCAAGCCAGGAAACCCAAAACACAAATACAGGGAGCACTGTTTGCGGGGACAGCAACGTAAATTTGGGTCGTAGCCACTTCATGCAACCTGAACGTGAAAGATGAGGCACGCAGCAGCAGCAGGACGCCAACAGAACAAAAATAAAGCCAGGAATTGCCACAACACCTCGATCCACTGCTTGAAAACCCAGAACGAAACGGTGGCTGAATCGGGGCTCTCAGCCCTGCCAGCCCAGCCACATCCGCAGAATCAACACGAATTACAGACACTACACAGGAGAAAGCCAAGCTTGAGGTGAGTTTTCTGCTCTAGAAACACCAGGCGAGCTACACATACTGTGGCAGCTTGAAAGTCAGACCAGATGACTGATTTCTTGCTTTCCTCCATACCTGCAAAAACTTACAAAACAAGCTGCTTTCATTAAACACGTTGTATTACACACATCTCAAGCATTCTCTTAACACTCAAAAAGCACCTCCCAAAGAAATAAACATCCTGCCAGAATAAAATCAAGAAAAAGACTGCAGAAATCTGAAGTGTTAATTAACAACTAATTGCTGCTTCTGTATTGCTTTTTCTTTAGCAATACAGAG